CAGGTTTGTTCATGCTTAACCCCCTTTGGAGTTTTTTTCCTGCATTAGAGATTAACAGCTCAGATGTTCTTGTGTTTTCTACTTCCCCAATATTGAGTAATATGGCAAAGCCACTGGAGGTCTTAACGTGTCATGCAGAAATGTGACAAGTCCTTGCCTACTTTGTAAAGAACACAGGAGGGGTTATGTGAACCCAGGGATGATCCAGGGATGCTTCTTGGGATTTGTAGCAGTCACGCTAGTGTCCTGGGTTTGCTGAAGACCACGATGCACAGCTGCCTTTGGTGTCCAAAGCACTTGATGTGTGTAAACAGCACTTGGGTCATCACAGCATCCCTCTCACCGACGGACTGCCCTTGCTGACATGCTGCTAGGACACTGCAGTAGGCTGTGTCCCCACATTGGGAGGGCACAGGGACATGCACAGGTGAGGCCAGGAATCCCCTGGGAATACCCTTTAGCAGTAACCAAGGAGCCTGCTGTGCTTATGCTTACATGGTGCTTCTCCACATCATTTGAAATCTTCAGAGGCTCTTCATATTTAGGTGCTAGAACAAACACAATTATAGAAAGTGCCGGTGAAGTGGAGGGATTGGAAACTGCAGAATATGAACTAGACTCTTGTAGCTGTGGAAGGCTAAAGGAGGAGGAGAAATGGCAAGAAGGAGAAACTAAAGAGCAGTGAAATTACAAAAAATTAAACATCACTTTGAATACAACAGAAGCTAAAGGAGTCCTAAAAGCACAGTCATTAGCTGAGGTCTGGAACTGGAGAAATGTTATATGTTTCTTTCTTGGAAGAAAAGCTTAGAGGTGGTACCAGTTACAGCAGCAGTGTTTTACTTTCTGTTGTAGCAGTAGCTTAGGAAATTAGCAAATAGCAGCTACTACAGCAGTACATTTTCAGGTTTGCTATTCTGGCTTACTTGTGTCCAGGGATTTTTAAAAGGCCTGGCTGAGCAGCGCTCTCTGGGCTATAAATGCTAATTTAAAAATAATTAAAAAAAAAAAAAAAAAGCATGCATAATGAGTTAGACTTAAAATAATGTTGTCTGTTACTCATAAGTGAGTAAGCCAATTTCAAGTTTAACTGGGCAAATTAAACTAGGCTATCCACAGTCTGATGTTCACTTCCAGTAAAATAATGTAATAGCTGATAGGGATCAGACTGGTCATGATTTTAGGGGGTAATAATTGTAATAGTCAGTCTGTACAGGTTTAGTTTTTTTTAATCATTCTTTTCTAACATAGTATGATTTTCTGGTATTGCTTTAATTTTACTTGATAAAGGTAGACCTATTGGTAAGTCTGGCACATTTAATGCACTGAAGTTGTGCAACAAGTGATAGGAATAAATAGGTGGGATGATTCAGAGTGTCACACACGCACTGTTGGGAATGAGTCCAGAGGAGGCAGGGCTGTGAAGATGATCACAGGGCTAGAGCACCTCTCCTGTGAAGACAGGCTGAGAGAGTTGGGATTGTTCAGCCTGCAGAAGAGAAGGCTCCAGGGAGACCTGATTACTGCCTTTCAGTACTTGAAGAGAGCTTTCAAGAAAGCTGGGGACAGACGTTTTAGGTGGGCAATAGGACAAGGGGGAATGGCTTTAAACTGGAAGAGGGTAGATTTAGATTAGATATGAGAAAAAATTTCTTTACTCTGAGGGTGGTGTGGCACTGGAACACAGAGAAGCTGTGGCTGCCCCATCCCTGGAGATGTTCAAGGCCATATTGGATGGTACTTGGAGCAGCTTGGTCTAGTGGAAGCTGTCTCTGCAGTGGGATTGGGACTAAATGATCTTTAAGGTCCCTTCCAACCCAAGCCATTCTATGATTCAATGCATAAAAGGAAACCTGACTGAATAAGGGGTCACAGTGTGACAGCAAAAGGCGCACCATTGTTGATAGTGTAGTAGTCTCAGCTGGGAATTTTTGGGTTTTTTGGCTCAATGCTAATCAAGAGGCAGAAATTGATCTCTTTTCACTGTTAACAAGTGATAGGATGAGAGGAAACGCCTTCAGGTTGCACCAGGGTAAGTTTAGCTTGGATATTAGAAAAGAGTTATCAAGCATTAGAACAAATTTGCCCCGGGAAGTAGTTGAGTCCCCAACCTAGGAGGTATCTAAAAGACATGTAACTTTGGCACTTTGGGGTATGGTTCAGTGGTAGACTTGGCAATGCAACGTTTATGGTTGGACTTGATTTTAAAGGTCATTTCCAGCCCAAATGATTCTATGATTTAGTGATGGACTCGGCAGAGCTAGATTTTATGTTGGACACGATGATCTTAAAAGTTATTTGCAGCGTAAATGATTCTCTTGATTGTTGGTGTCCTGGGAGACAAAGCAAGAAGTTAATTTGGATTTGTGGGCAACATAAAAACTGGGTAACTTGTAAGTAGTGAAAAGAGGCGAGTTGGTGGTGAACTTGGGGTTGTTTGTGTACTGGGTGAGGCAACAAGGAGTTGTGTGACACTTAAAGCAGTGGCCTACTCCCAGAGCAGGTGGGAGGGTTGGCAGGACGTGTGGTGGTCTGGGAGCTGCTGCAGGAGCAAGGGCTCTTACAGCAGCACGGTGGTTCACTGAAAACAGGAGCCCAGCTGGGCACAGTGACCAGAGAATAAATGCAGCACTTGGACACAAACACGGGATCCTGAGCTGGGGCAGGGAGGGCGTTATCTCGGTGCAAGGTGCTGCTCCTGCCAGTGTGCTGCACAGGAATGCTGCTGATAAGTCAGAGGGAGTTCAGGGAGGACCAGGAGAGGGGAGGGCTGCATAATGTGCTATACAGGAAAACACAGAGCTTCGTGTGTAAAGTAAATGCAGTGTTTCTTTCTTCTTTTTTTTTTTTTTTTTTTTTCCCTTTATTTAGAGTTATGCAGTAGTTTAACCAGAGCTGAAGGAAGCACGGTGACCTTCCTTGGCAGGAGGTCAGACTGTGTCATCACAGGGTTCCTCTCACTCTGTAATATTCCATGGGGCAAGAGTGGGAAAGGGAAAGTCATTTTATGTTCAGAAACAAATGTGTGCATCTCTTGGGGGATATGGGTGTTTTAACTCCAGGTGTCCTGTCTGCCAGGCTTCCAAAACAGGTGGTTGTTCTGAGTGAGAGTGTCTGCCGAACAGCCAGCATCACACACTTTTCTGTGACAGTGCAGGCCCCACAGCTAACCAGCTCTGGGGCAGCAGCTACCTCTTCTTGTCTTTTAACATTTTCCTGCACCCCAGGCTTTCTCCCTCTTCAGCTGCTTTACTGCAGACTTTGCAGAAAATACTTTTTCTTCTCTGAGAAGGACAGGTAGGCCCTGATTGCAGCACTGGCTGGTGCATGGGTACAGGGCTGCAGAGCTTTCCTCTTGCTTCAGAGAGCGCAGACAAGGGGCTCAGCCTGCCAAAATAATGAGCCCTTCTTTGGCATTAGTATCGCTTTCCTTCTGAATGGCTGTGGTAATTCTGAAAGAAAATGTGTCTTGTTTTGGACATCCTGTCAAGGCTTAAAAATGCATGTGTTTGCATGTGTCTGGTTGTACCTACGCAGAGGCTTTGCTTTCAGACCACTGTATGAGTATTAAGTAACACTCCTTGATAAAGGTCTTTCAGGCTGCACACTGGCATGTGAGAAGTTCGATTGGAAAAACAAATCATTTGTCCCCTGGCACAAAGAGGAGCCAGAGAGGTTGGGAATGGCATTCCTTCTGGCGGTAAATAGGGCAGAAATGCAGACCAGACTTCCATGGTGTTCAGGCCCATACAAGCATGTGTAGAATAAGAAAATTCCTTTCTTCAGGGGTTTGTGACATTAGAACATGAATTTTGAAATGCCCTGAGTCGAGTCATGATGGGGATGGGCTCCTCCACCAGTTTCCCCTGATAGAAATGGTCTGATGAGCTGTGGAGGCCCCTCTGTCAGCACTGCAAGTGTGCAGCATAAAGAGCATGTCATTGGGCAGTGGACATGGAAGGGGCCATCACAGGGGATTTGGGGGAAGCAGATGTGAAATCTGTCTGATCTGGTGTGGTAGCTGAGAGCAGACAGTTTGTGTGCCTTAGAGGAAGTCTTAAGATGAATGTAAATGAAGAGATGAGCAGCACTCCAATTTATTCTTTTTCTCAAGCTGAGGTGCTCTTTTGCTTAGTGACCCTTCCAAAAATGTAAATTAAATCCATTCCAAATTATTATCACTTGACATATTTATATATTCTCTTCAGCACCACGCCATGCTGGGAGGGGAAGTGTTATTGTTTTGGAGCTTGCTGTCCTTAACCATCATTAAGTGATTGATAATTCTGTGATTCTGTGAAGTGCCTCCTGGCTCTTGTGCTGAGCAGAGGGAGCGGCATTTTCACTACGGCAGCCTTGTGTGCCAGAAGGGTGGTGGTGGCTCAGCTCTGCTTGCTGCAAAGGAAGATCACGAGCATGATTTATGCAATCTTGGTGAAGTCTCAGAGGGCACTGTAGACACTTATCTGTTTGTCAGAGGTGTCCAGAGCACACAGAAAGCTCTGTCTACAGGGTGCAGGACACTGTACTCTGTTCCCAGACGGAGACTGGCATATGTAGGTTTGTAAGCAGATCCTGGTTCAATGCCCCAATTTGCATTCCTCTTTCTTGTCCTTCTGCCCCCAAAGACCTGCTCTGAGTAGTGGTGCTCCATGTTCCCAGAACACATCACACCCATCATTCTTCAATTCCATGTGCAGCTGGAAATCCCTTGTGCGTTTTTCATGGGCTCTGTGAGGCATATTTCAGATTCTCCATGCTTCAGGTTGCTCTGTGGTGTCTCATGCTCTTCACCTGACCTGCAGCCGAGCTGTGCAGGAAGAGGTTTCCATGTAGGCGTGTGGGTGCTCTGGTGTGGGATGGTGGCTCTTGGTGCCGGAAGGGAGCCTGATCTGCTGACTTCATCTCGGCCTGGGGAGAAGGCTGTGGTTCCTGGGGGAACCAAGGTTGTCATTTCTCAGCTATTCATATTTCTCCTCCCTTCCTTCATTCTTTTTCAGAACATGAGTGAGAACTTGAAGGACTGTTTGATCCAGACCCAGGCTTCCTTAGGGGAGATGGTGACGATAAAAACAGAGGCCTGCTCTCCACACCAGGACCAGGAGTATGGACAGCCTTGGTATGTGGCCAAGCATTGGTCTGATGTACTCTAACCCCTTCTCTCCACCTACCTCTTAGCTTAAAGGTGGTTTTGAGGAATATACTTGAGCTGCATGAAGTTACTAAAGCTCTTCTTGTGAGGTCTGCCTTGGGTTGTTTGACAGGGGTGGTTGCCTACTCATGTGCACCTACTCTAGCTGAAGCCATTATCTGCTGTGGGCTTTAGCCTTAAGGATGTGTGATACCAGCATTTGGAAGGTTGGGTGGCAAGTTTAGTCATTTCTCTGCTGCATCTGTGGGGCTGAAGGAGTTGGTCAGGCCCCATTGCTTCAGCTTCTCTCCATGTGCGGTCCCAGAATCTTGCCAGGTTAACATCATTCTTCTGTTGTTCCCTCCTCAGCACTGGAAGGCCTGACTCACAGTCCATAGAGATGGAGCCCAAGAAACTGAAAGGGAAACGGGATGTAATCATGACCAAGAGCTTTCAGCAAGTGGATTTCTGGTGTAAGTGTCTTGTGAATAAGGGAAAAGCACCTCTGCTGCTTCTGTAGACTTGGATCTTCCCTGTCAGTTTGGGGCAGGAAGCAGGGGGAAAAAAAAGCCAGGGATAAATTTGCATTCTCACCTGAAAAGATTGGCATGATTTGTAGGGAAATTGTTGCACAAAAGCAGCTTGTCCATGGAGGGGCTAGGCAGAAGTAGGGAGGGAGGAGGAAGGCAAGCTGGAAACATGAAAATGCACACTGGAAAACACTGAGACTCTGGAAAACGCAACAACTTGAATTCAGAAACTGCAAAGGGAGCCTTGGGCAGATGCCAGCTCTTTCCCAGAAAGAAAACTGGTGCCATTTATGTTGGCATACCTATGAATTACCAGTTGGTAGACCTGCATCTCTGTCTGGACACAGGACAGGTGCCTGGGATGCTGTCTCTCTCCGAAGCACAGAATGAAGGCCATATGATGAGGGTATTTGTTTTCAGGGATGCTTGTTTTAGCTCCCATCTGGTGTGTGGGGAACCAAACCTTTTGGCTGGAGGACTTGCTGCTAACCAGGGATGTGCAGGGAGCCCTCAGCCTCTGTTTCTGCACGCGGTGACAGGGCCTTTCCACCCGTTCAGCCATCAGTGGCAGATACATGCAGGGCACCAGGGCTTACACAGGTGCAGGGGAAAGGTCAGGTAGGGCAGGTGTGGGTTGGGGCAGAACAAGGGAGCAGCCAGTGAAGATTCTGTGCGTTTGTGCAGGCTGTAGTCTGGGGAAGGGGCTCAGCTGGGCCAGGGAGAGGACAGGGAGCTGTCCCGAGTACTGTGCATCATGTGCCTCATGTCTGCCCTACCTAACCCCTGTTTCCTTCGCATCTGCAGTTTGTGAGTCCTGCCAGGAGTACTTTGTGGATGAGTGTCCAAACCATGGCCCCCCAGTGTTTGTGTCTGACACCCCGGTGCCCATTGGCATTCCTGACCGGGCAGCGCTGACCATCCCGCCTGGAATGGAGGTGGTTAAAGAGCCCAGCGGGGAGAACGACGTGCGCTGTATGAACGAGGTGATCCCCAAAGGTCACATCTTTGGGCCGTACGAGGGGCAGATCTCTAGCCAGGACAGGTCTGCAGGATTCTTCTCGTGGCTGGTGAGTGACAACTTTCCCCAATTCAGTGACATGCAGCTCAGAGCTGGGGATGTCATGGGCTTGTGCAGCCAAGCCTTAGACATCTTCCCCCTTCTCTGGAGGTCTTCTGCTGGCCACGTGGGCACTATGTCAGCATTGACCTGCCTTAAATATTAGCAGCTTAAGGGTATAGGTAGATGATCTAGAGATTGCAGAGCTCTCTCATGGGCTTCTACCACTCTCTCCCAGCTTGCCTGAGCAGAGAAGGTGGCCTAGAGGCCAGAAAAGAGATCCAGTCCATCAGGAACTGATCTACATGCAGATTCCAGCACCAAAACTTTCTTCTCCTCACGCTGCAGGACTTATATGAGGTTAAGAGATAGAGACATCACTGATGTCATCATATGAGATAGAGACATCACTGGATCAACATATGTTAATTATTATGAGAATTGCAATCTGGGACTTGAGTTATTACTAGGGAAAAAGTGGAGAGCTGCTGATATGAAATGCCCCTCACACTCTTCTGTCTGTAAAATAAATGTGTGTCTCAGCCCTGTCCCAAAAGGGAAGTTAATCTTTTATATCCCAGGATTGTTAGCGATTTTGTCAGCTGCATCCATAGTTCTGTTACAGCTATTTGCATGTAGGAAAATGCCTCTCAGGTCAGAGTAGCCTCTAAGCACTCGTCCAGGTCAGCAGCCTGTAGTACTTGGAGAGCTGAGATTCACAACACAGAGTTTCACACCACGACGTAAGGCTAGAACTGAAGCAGTGATTTGAGATTTGAGATTGACATGCTGCATCCATTCTCTTGTTCCACAGATCGTTGATAAGAACAACCGCTACAAATCCATTGATGGGACAGATGAAACCAAAGCAAACTGGATGAGGTGAGTCCAGTTCTCTTCTGCCTTCCCTTTCGGGACTCTGTCTTCCAGAGAGAGGCCATCAAATACTCCTTATTGTTTTGCGTGTTGGAAAACCAAACCAAAATGTCACCACCCATTTTGCAAATGGTGTGCTTGTAGTCTTTCAATATTTATTGTAATGAGTTTCTCTGGCATCAGATTCAATGAAAGGGTCTAAAAAAAGACAAGGATGCGTATATGGAGGATCACTATTTTCTGGAATGAGGATAAATGTTAAAGATGATCCTATTTATCCACTCTTACAAGCACTGACAGATCTCACTCCATTTTTTTACTCATTTTCTTTTATGTTACGTTCAAATATTTGCAAAATGCTTTGCACTACCCCCTGAGGTAGCATTTGATTCTGTTTGGGTTTTTTTTGCCCCTACTCATTTGACAGATACTAGAAGAGGTGCTTTTTTTTGCTTGCTTTCTGGGCTGCATTTGAGCCAGCTGTCGGTGCTGGCTGTCGTTGGCAGTGTCAGCTGTCCTGTGCGAGGAGAAGGGCGAGCTGGGCGACTGAGGGCAGAGCTGTGTCCTTGCGCTCCCTCTGCTGGCCCCGCGCCCCGCTCCGGGCAGCCGCCAGCGCAGCTGGCTCCGCTCCGGGAACTGCAGCAGGAAGGGACCCTGTGGGGCCATGGGCCAGTGCTTCAGCTATTGGCATATAGCTGCAAAAACGTACCAGAACAGGGCATTGCTGCACGGTGAGGCCTGTCAGGCCAGTCCTGCTTCTGCGGGAAGCTTTGGGAGCAGTTGTTATCAAGAGGCATTTCTTAGAAGAGTAAAGCGGTGTGGGATTACCTGGTTTGTGGGCCTGGATGTCTAGGATTTTCAGTTGTCCCTCACTGAGGGAATAAAAAGCATGCAGTACAGGTAAATGCAAGATTGACCTAACTGGTCGTATCTAGTTGCACCACTTTTGGCCATTTCATTTCACACGGATAGCAGCTGTTCTGACATTTATGTTCATAAAGTTCAGCAAAGGATTTCATTTTTCTGTAAGGATTCCAGCTGTTGCAGTTGTTCACTGCTGAATGAGATAAAATACTAGACCAGGGCTGAGTCTGGAGTCATCACTTCAAAAAGAATCAGTGGTACAGTGAAGAGATGGGTAGGCGAACATATTTATATCTAGAAGTAAAGAATGCAAAGTTCAGAAATCTACTTAGATCTGGACCTTTGTGATCTGCATGACAACAAAGCTGGGGCAAAACACAGTCTTGGAAAGCAAAAATTCTATGATGAGCTTTTCTTCCAACTGCTGTGAACATAAGCTTGATATCTGGATTTAAATGGGCACTAGTTGTGGTCCTAACACCAAAGAGCAGAATATTCTTGCCTAAACTTGTATTTGCCATGGTTCAGTCTCAGTATGATGGTGGTCTGGGCCACTGTGTACAGTCTTGAAAGGCATGGGGGTTATGGCTTTGTGGAAAGGGGATGTTTGTGACCCTTCATGGGAAGGGTGCATCAAAGGGTCTCTGCAGGCTGTACCAGTCCTACTGACCTTTCAGATTTTACTCTTGAAAAGTGCTTATAACCAGTAGTATTATGTAGAATCTGACTGACAGTTCAAGTGGCAATAGAAGTCCTCAAAAAGCCTTGGTTTTGTTTGTTAGCACCTTTTAGACTAAGGTGTGCTCAATGTTCTGTGCTAGAACATCACCCGACACTGAGATCACACACAGACATCACACTTGACTTCCAGGACGCTGTAGACAGCGCTCTTTTTGTTTTTCAGATGGTGCTCTTTGCTATCACTCAAAGATGGAGTGCTTTGCAAAGCAGATCTACTCACCTTCTGGGTAGGTGGGTATGGCAGGGGGAGGGCAGCTTGGGCTGACTCCTCTCTCTTCTTGTAGATCTGGCTATTGTTTTTGTTGTCTGAATACCACACCTGAGTCCATTTTCATGTTGCCTGAGGACAGTACGTACACTGCAGCACTTGCTGGTTTAATTTCAAGTGCCTGTTTACCCAAGGCAGTGGGTGACAGGGAGGAGGGAGTAACAAGTGCAGCAGATGTCATGGCAATGGTAACATCCTCTTGCCCTTTCCTTCATCAGTCAGTCAAGACAAACTCCTGATGCTGGAGGCATGTTCTCCTAAACTGGCTGCTGGCACATGCACCCTTCATCCCTGCCCAGAGTAAAGCCCTGCTGTTTGCAATACTTCATGAAACTCCATGACTTCAACATATGCAAACGTCTTCCTCTGTTTTTATTTTTCTGGGAGCTGATAACCATGGATTGCAGCAAACAAAATTAATGCTTTTTTGGACACAAACTGTAAATGGCTGCTGATGGCAGGTCTTGGGCTTCTGAAGGGTTGTAGAGGACCATCCATTTTCCTGGCAGCTTCTGAGTAAATTCTCTTACTCAGTTGTTGGTGTCCTCTAAAAATAATGGATCTGACAAAAAACTGAAAGTAATTCAGAAAGCCTTCTGTGTATATATGACTTGGCCTGGAATGAGATGGAGGATAGAAACTGGTGGTTCCTAACTGAACTGTTGAAGAGTAGTACCTCATGTTTGGGGTTTCCAGCATACTTCGAGCATTTCGTCTGTAGCCCTTCTTACATGTGAGTACCTGAATTCTTAGGCTTTTAGCACAGTGCAATTCCATCTTTTTGCCTTAGCCAATGTGGAAAGGCTGAAGCAAGACTTTCTCACTGCTTTCTCCTTTGCCTTCCTTTCTGCCCCCTTTCCTCTCCAAACGTAGTGACAGAGATCATGGGGAGCCAGACTGTCCTCTAAATCTTCCTGTATCTCCTTATAATGGAGGCATTTCTGATTTGATTTTCATACAATAATAGAGCTTTGAAGGAAGCTCTGGTCAAGTGTTCCAATAGCCTACTTAAAGCAGGACCGACTTTGACTAGTAGATCTTTTAAGTACTGCTGTTTTGAGTTTACAGGACCTTTTAAAAAGCATTTTAAAAATAGTCAGGGTTACTGTGACTGCCCTTGTGTTCAGGGTGAGTAGATGCCACCAGCCTATGAGTGTCATTTTGTTGAACGTTATAAACTGATTTCTCCTACCTTGCAGCAAGTGGAGCAAATGTTTTCATCTATTACAGTCAAATTTATGTGGAGCAAAGGTATCCTAAATTAATGTGGGACTGTGATCCTAGGGAAAAAAAAAGCAAAACCAAAAACTACTCCAAGACCCTGGGAAAAATTACATGCTTGTTTTTCAGAGGCCAAGAAAAGTGGAGTTGATTGATATTTTTGTGGGGTAATCACTAAGTGCCGACTGTTCAATGTGTCTTGCACTTTCAGATTGACCTGGGCTGAGGTGTGAATTCACAACCTCACAGCTGGGGCTGTTCTGGAGCTTGCTAAAACCCTCATGGCATCACCAGAGAGGTACTTGTAAATATCAGTGACTGCCTCTCGGGACATACAGCATGCTAGAGGAGAAGAAAATCCCTCGGATAGTAACAGTGTCTGCATTTTTATAAGGAGGAGGTTGATGTGCCTGCCAGAAATCTAACGCTAATTGAATTTGTGATTAAAACTGCCCCAGAGCTCATTATTCAATGTGTGGCAAGGTTGCCATTGGAATATGTAAGTTAGATTGTTTTGACCCAAGTAGTGCTGGAGCATATGAGTGGAAACACTGAAATCTGAATATACAGGCCTACCATAAGCTCTCCTAAGTGCACTTGATGGGATATCCTGTCTGGGAAGAGCAAACAGGGCTCCAGTTCCCCATCAGCACCGCTTTGCTGGTGACAGCAGCTGTGAATTTGGCAGAGGAGAGGGAGCACCAGGTTTTGTGACCCCATGGCTGCAGAGAGTGCTGTTCTGTTCTGCAAGTTCACTCCTACCCAGAGCACTTTGCAGAATACTATTACTCTTTTTTGCCAGAGCAGCTTGTCAGTGGAGGTTTGTTGCCACCTCATGGAGGCACTGATGATGCTGTGCAGTCATGCGTGCCTGACGAGGAGATACACCAAGCCCAATTTTGCTGAATGCAATAAAAGTCAAACTGTAAATGTTCCCTTGCTCAATGTTTTGTGTAGCCTTTTCCCTTCTCATGTTTAGCAGGGAGAACTCCTTTTTCTTTTAAGTTTGGTGAGCTTTTTTTTGTTGGGGTTTTTTGATATTCAGGGTAACAGATGCTTTGCTGGCTCTCCATCATTTCATTACATTTCATCTTCTCTAAACGCTCTTTCTTTTTCTCTATAAAAGAAGTTTCACCAAGACAGTATCTCAAGCATTCATTTGTGTTTGTTCCCGTGAAATACATCTGTGCACTTAGGTCCCAGCTCTTCCTGATGTGGCCTGGATTTGAGCAGCACCTCCTACTGGTTTTCCAGCTTTAACCAAGCTGACACTTGCCCTGGTGGCAGGCAGCAGTGTCAGTGAAACTGATTAAACAGCAGTGTTAACGGCACCAGGAAGGAACTAGAATGACATGGGTCAGCGCCTTTCTGTAGGTTCAGACAGTCTATTTTCTCCTTCCTTATTGAATAGATCTACTGCCTCTTTTTTTCCCCAATAAGAGAACATAGTTACGACTAATGTTTTGTTTATTTTTATAGTTTTCTTTGACTGTGGCTGAAGAAATTAACACACATCCCCTTTGGACAAAACTGCTTGTTCTCAGGATGGCTGCCTCTTTTTCTCAATGGGATGAGGGTACAACTTGTTCATTTGAAGCAGCAGAAACTGGGTGCAGGCTTATGTCGGTGACAGTGACGGAAAGCTTAGCCAGGAAAAACAAGTGTGTGGCCTCATTCCTTTTGAGAACAATGGGAAATGGCAGCCATTTCTGGGTGAAACAAGAGCTTGCTGTGAAGCAGACAAATGCTGGATGTAGAGTACCACAATGCTGAAAAAAGAGATCTTTCCTTAGGGAAAGTGAGTTACAGATATTGCCCACCAGTCTAGTCAAAACCTACCTACCCTAAAAAAATCCAATTTGATGAAGCCTTTCCATGACATCCTGCAAGTTGTAACAGAAAGGGTGGTGTAAAAGTTTCTACTGCATGTTGTGCCAGGTAGAACAATAAGATATGCCTCTAAATCTCCTCTAAGTTTCGAGCAGTGTCACATTAGAGGCTAATTTATCACTGTGATTGTGAGTTCTCACGTTTTTTTTCTGTGCACAAACTTTGGCAAGTGATGTGAGGGTGAACTGAAAATCTCATATGTAAGTCAGGGTATCAGATGATGTGTAAAATTTAATTTTAACTTTAAAGGTGAGAAGGCTGCTTCACACTGGTGTTGCTTGGTGTTTTGTTTTGTTTTTTTTCTGAAGCTTGAAAATTGCCTTCTAAAAACAAAACAGCTGCCTTTCCTGGTGAGAGGTTGTTGTGGGCTGGGGGAGCTGGATCCCACTAAACTCCTCTGCCCCAGTACTGCACTGGCCAAGTGGTTGGATGCAGGGGGTTGCTTTGCGCTGATTTCCTTTTACCCAATTATGCTTTGTGGGATGTTCAACCCAAGGAACATGGCTGAACGAAAGAGGAAGCCCAAGTTTTCCAAGGAGGAACTGGACATTCTGGTCACTGAGGTGACCCGAAATGAAGCCATGCTGTTTGGGCGGGAGACGGTGCGTCTGTCCCATGCTGACAGGGACAAGATCTGGGAAGGCATAGCCAGGCAGATCACATCAGTCAGCCAGGTCCCCAGGTCTGTAAAAGACATTAAGCACAGATGGGACGACATGAAGAGAAGGACCAAGGACAAACTGGCATTCATGCAGAGGTCCCTCTCCAGCCCCGGCAGCGCGGGGCGACCTTCGGCCATCGTCCTGACCACCCATGAGAGAGCCATCGAATCGGCGCTGCATTCCTCACACCAGAGACACGGCTGCCAGAGAGTGGATCTGGACGTGGTTGACAGCCCATCGACGAGCTGTAAGTACCACTGCCTTAACACCTCTTATGCTTACATATCTTCCTTTGACACCAGAAGAGCATTGTGTGTTGTGTGAGATGGCTGGGTTGCCTGTCAAGACAGGTCCTTCTGCTGTGGTTGGTTTCTGCTCTGGTGGTTGTGGAATGTTGAGATGGATTGTTTCCAAGTTAAGATCATCTTTATCTGTTTATCTGGTTATTTTCTGTACTGTTGTCTGAGGGTAGATAATGGGTTATAAGTATGAATTAGTCCTACAGGCAAGGGAACATCTGTAGCTGAAGTATGACTGCTTCCAGTCTGTGGAAAAAATGGTCATAAAGGATTCGGAGAACTTCATCTTGATAAAACAGCAGTGCTACCAAACTGAGAGACATCTGTCACCAGTGGATCACTTCCAAGAGAGCTTTGGGGGTCTCAGTGATCACTGGTGTTCATTGCTGAGGTCGGGCCACTAACAATTTCTCAGTAGTGGTCTGAAGAATCAGCATGAACGCTGTAAAAAAGGTAGATAGTAATAACTCCTTCTTCACTGGTTTTAAAGAAACTTCTGGCTCTGCTTTTGAAGTTGATCTTACACCACAATTCTCAGACACCCTCCAGTGCAAAACCACAAGCTGCTTTGTGCAGGTTTATTCCATAGTTTTATACACATAGTTTTCTTTTGTGGAGGTGCAGCTTCTTGTTGGTGAGTTTTTAGGGATACAAAGGAGAGAAGGAAGTTCCCACTTCTTGGGAAGTGAATCAACTAACACCTCATGAGTGGCGCTGTCCTACCACACTAGGTCTAACCTCATGTCTGAAGTTGTTAGGGGGAGAGCAAGGACAAAATCTTCCAGAACTGACAAGGTGGGACTTGGTCATTCTTTGTATCTATCTTGGAAGCCAGTTGCACTATTTCAGAGGTAAAAAGAATATAGGTTATGCAAGGAAATAGTGGGCAGCTGCGCCAGGTGAAACCTTGTCTCTTCTTACTCTTCACATGCATGTACCTGTGAACTGGCACATCACTAGATATTTATCAGACTAATGAGAATTTTCCCATGGCATTTTGCTTTAGTTTTGATTTTGCATCAAGTGTATTTGCCTGATTAACATAGGGTCCTGTTGCTGCTATATCTGACTGCCTGGTTGTCTTAGTGATGCCAAACCATGTAGTGGCTTTGCAGAATACACTTTGGGAGCAGCAAATACAACATCTATGCTCTTCTCAGTGCAAAGGATGTGAGAAATTATGGGAGAGCAGGATTTTTCCATGAGAAGTCTGTGTTCCTCTAGAATATTTATGCTAGCTACCTATGGATTTGAGAGAGGGAGAGAAGTCATTGCTACTGTCTGAAATGGATTCATATTCTAGTAATGAACAGTGCTCTGTACAGAATGCCACAGTAGCTTGGGTTCACCCTCTCTCAGATTTCTCATGGCTAAGCTTGTCACCCAGATGCTAACTTGCAGCTTTTGCATGTTGAATTACGCATCAGAAGCTACAGGCTTGTCTGAGCTGGCAGACTGGGGGGGAGGGTAAAACCCTTTTTCCATATTCTTTGAGATATCCTGAAACAGAAGCCAGCATTGAGAGGGATTTCACATTAATAATTCATGCTTCCTCTTCTGTTTAAGCTGATGAAGATGAAGAGATGCCAGGCACTTCTCAGGAACACCACTTCGCTTCGCTGCAGAGGGCTGGTGCAGGTGTCAATCCGTTCTCCAGGCCCTCCCTCCTTCACACTTCTTCCTCATCAGAGCCCTCAGGAGCTGCCAGCCAAAGGCAGGAACTGCACTGTCCATCCCCACGCACCACCTCGGCCTGCAGACCCCCGCACCCCCGCACCAGGAGCCCGCCCCTCTCCAGCTTCGATCGCCAGCTTCTCCATTGCCATGCGCAGCAAGCAGACCTGTTCAGGCAGTTCTGCCAGGAGCTGGTGGCCATCCATAGGGACATAGCAGATAGCATGCATGCCGTCAGCCAGAGCGTGGCTGACCTCACCAGCCAGGTCAGCCAGATGTGTCAGACACTGACAGAAATACGTGATGGGGTCCGGGCTTTCCATAGGATACAAGATCCCAGTGTCATGCCAGGGTCCTGTCTGCAAGCAGCTTGCTCTAAACAGCTCCCCGAGCCCAGTGCAGAGTCTAACCAAAACTCTCTAAAATGGACAACTCCTGCACGGGCCACCAGGTCACGAAAAAGAAAACATCAGTTTTAGTCTGTATTTTACAAAGTAAAGAAGGATGGCACTTCCTGAGCTGCTGCATGTTCCTCCCCATGTGTATGACTACTCCGTGGGGAAGGTCAACAGCTGACCCAACCCATCCACCCCCCTGCTGGCTAACAGAGCAGTATGACTATGGCAACTAATTTTAGGACCGGCCCTCTGCAATGGCAAAGAAGAATCTCAAATTCTGTAGAGCTTGAAATGTAAGATATCTTTGGGTTCATAGAGATTAAGAGTTTTCACTGGCTTCCCCATGCTTTAAATGCTGTATAAACTAGGAAATGCAATAGAAATCGTTATCTGTATCTCTTCTCATGCCTGTGAAATATTTTTACTGAAGCAGCATGCTACAGAGATCCTTTTGCAATCAACTCACAAATTTATCCTACTACTGCATTCCCATAATCTTCCTGAATATTCGTATATGCAGTATGTGCAAAAATACAGCCTTATGACTCTAAAACACTTGTTGATCATGGCTTTTATCTCTCATTCAGCAATAGTGGGCTGTCTGGGGCTTACTGTGACTTACACACAGCTTTGGGGGGAAGAGTGTAAAAGTAGGGCTTGTGCAGGGAAGGGAAGAAGGCATGGTTCTGAGGACAGGTCTGAGCACCATGGAGTTTTAGACTGCTCAAAATGGTTGCAAAAAGCATAGGCATGGATCCTGCAGTGTCACATGCACTTGTGTTGAAGAGTTCAGCTTCTGTTTGCTCCAGTCTGAAACCCCTACCTTTCACAATTGCAGTTAAAATACAATCATTTCACCACATGACAACATTTAAAGATAATTGTATCATATTTTCTTGCATGTTGTCAAATCAAACCACCTCACCCCTTCAAAATGACTGAACAGAAACGAGAAAAGATGTAGGGCCTGCTTCTGACCTCAAGCCAATTTGGTTTGGTTTTGCTGTAATTCTGTCATCTTCAGTACAATTACTTTGCACTTAGTTTTATTTAGGGTGGGATCTGTGCTGTGTTCTCCTCTCATGAAGAGTTTACAGTCTAAATTCACAGCTACATAGGTTAAAATCTTAGGCACGTTGGTTTTATACTGCTTTCTTTCCCCATATAGATGCAAGAAAGAACTTCATTACAGCATTTGAATTGCTCTAGAGCTGTGTGAGGTTCCCGTGTACAACACTGATTCTGGAACTAGGCTTTAACAGTGTCACTTCAGGTGGTGATTATGTATGTGGTACCTCTTTTATAATATGTCTGTTTTCTCCTTAATTTGCACTTCTGCATCTAGCATGCTGCCCCTATCTCTGGAAAAACCCAGACCATTATCCTGATAAGCTTCAGCAGGGAAAAGGGTCAAGGTGTTAATCGCATAGCACTCCGTGCTCTCCAGGCTGTCCTGTTGTGTTTGGAGGTTGGTTGCAGGAAACTATTACAGTTATTATGAGTGAGCATCATCCTACCATGGCTGGGCTACAGACTTGGCAAAAAAGTTACAGAAACTTCCATGGAATTGAACATAGGCAGCACGGTGTAGCAGAAGGATGGCTTGTTTTTTGTGGTCTTCAAGGGTCGTCTTTAACCTGTCTGGCCTCTTCTTTGAAAGTATAGTGCACTAGCTTCTTTCCTGAAAAGTTCGTTGTATTTCTGCTGTGTCAGGCATTCCTGACATGCTTTTCTTCTTTTTTTTTTTTTTTTTTTTGAAGATGTGCTGTAATTCTAATTAAAGTAATTTATTTTTAGTGGTGCAATAAAAGATTGCTCAAGGAAATAGTGGTCTGGCAAGGAAAAAAGCCTCATTTCTGAGGAATGACCCAACTGGTTTCATGCAGAGGACATTCCTTTTAGTGCTTGTGCCAGACCAGGGCAGAACTTGCTTGTCTTCCACTGAGGATGTTCTTTTACTCCTGTTGAAATATTTGTATTCTGCAAAAGTCACAGTCTCTCTTCAGATGAAGGGGAGATTGGGAAATCTTTCAAAAGTAGATCTAATTTATGAATCAGAGAGCTGAAAAAAGGGTGGTATATGTTAAAGGCTTTCTAAGTCAATACAGTGCTGCTGCTATATATTAATATTAGTATTTTATATTTTTATAATATTTGGTCTCTACTGATGTCCTTCCATGCATATGATTAACTCCTTTGATGTTGTCCAGGGGGATCCCTTCTGAAAACCCTCAGGTCTGCAGAGGAGGAGACTCCTGCAGGTGCTGGGCAGTGGAGGGAGTTAGCATCATTGGTGCCATCAATTTGCCCACACAGATGTATTTAGAGAGAGAATCCTGGTGCCGGATGCACAGCCCTTAATGCAAATCCCCAAAGGCTGGGCACTGGTCAGGAGAAAGGACCTTTTACTATAAACTGCCTGATGTCTCCCCTAGTTTCCTCTGTGGACTATTACAGATTGGCCCAGATCTGGGGACGTATCTCCTGCCCTGTGTAGACCCCTCGGTGGAGTGGCTTTTCTGTATTGGCTCGCAAAGGATACTTCTTCCTGCACCTATCATGCTAACTGGCTGTTGAAGTAAGTGTCTGTGTCAAAGCAAACTGCTGTGCTCAACCCCAGTACCTCCATGTCCTGTACATGCTGAAAAAATTCTCTCTTTAAAAGTATTTTTGTTAAGAATGCAATAAATATATAACACTTTTAACACAGCTGCTGTTGAGTCGTTTGTTTCTCTCTACAATTTTTGCCTGAGCTGGTAAGAAGCCTGTCACAGGTGTGGGTCTCCAGGAGATACTTGGCATCAGCGCACTGAGGCAGGGTTTACAGGTATGGCATCCCATGGCATCAGCCTGGGCTGCTAGCTGCTCTCTTGCATGGGATCTTCTGCCCTGGCTCTGTGCCCAAAGTTGGTTTGGGAAGGGCCAGTGGCCTTTTCCCTGCAGTGCTCTGCCCTGGCAGGCTGTCAGTGGAGCACGCCCGAGGCCAGCCAGAGGGTGAGCTGTGGAGTGGGCAGCAGGGAGCCATGAGGCAAGTCCAGGGCAATAGTGGAGGGGAGAAGGGGAGAAGCCTGAGCCTCTCTCCAACTGCAGAGGTCTCCTCCCTCTTCACCGTCTCTTGTGGATCCTCACCAGAGGCTCTGTTCCTCTCCTGGGGAGGGATGATCCCACCTGCAGAAAAATACCTTGACATTTTTCTGGGCACGCTCACTTAGCCATCCCAAAACTTGGAAATTTGGTGTCCTGAGTGGGCTGGGGCTTAGGAAAAATGAAACAGTGATTTTTATTTGCTGCTAGCTAGAGAGTCTGTGGGAAAGGTGGTCCTGCAGAGCAAGGAGCTGTGCCCCTGGCAGCTGTGGGGTTGATCCCAGCCCCAGTAGCTGCAGATGGGTCACAAGTGGTCTCCATTGGTGCAGTGTATGGTCCTGAGTAGCCTGGTCAGGATCTGTGGTGTTCTGGAGGCTGGCCTGTCCCAAGGACTAGACAGGACATGAAATGGTGGATTTGTGGCTGGTGGCAATGCCTCTCTGCAGGACCAGGTGCAGCTGAGGGTGTCTGGGTCTGCCACAGGAGCAGTATGACCCTGCTTCTCCTCTGGGGATCACAGTCCCTTGGGAAACCTGCTCTGCAAGCAGGGCCTTGCCTATCAGTGTGCAGTGCTTGGGTCAGCATAACCATGCCTGTCCTGGGTGTTCAAACCCACATAGCCTCCTTGCTTCAATCCAAATGGAGTATTTGGCATTGGGAAGGGGACTGGACACTGTGTAGCCTTCACAAGGAAGGGTTGGGTTATTCAGGATGTAGTTTGTAGTAGTTTGGCCTTGGGATGGATATCAGGGAAGGCAGATCATGCAGTCTCTCCTCAGCAGGTAGTTTGTGCTCCTGGTTCATCAAGCTGGCTGCCCTTTTGTGGAATGACTTTCTCCATTCTTGGAAAGCATCTGCCTCTCGGCTGTGGTGTGCAGCAGCACTAAGTGTCTCAGAGCAACAGTTGGAATGTGGGGTTTTGCAGTCCTTTGTAACCTGTGTCTTTCGTGCCTCTGGGGAAACTCAAGCCTGGGGCTGGCCAGCACTGGTTCAAAACAGTTTGTGTGGATGATCTCATCCCATCTACCTTAACTCAGGGAAGTATCACAGATGGAAGCTTCCTCACTAGGATCATAAACCACTTGCTAGCTGGGCATAGCTGTGAAGAAACATGTTTGTGACTGGATTATCCCAGAACTCTCTGTTGGGGGCTCCTAATGAGACTGGCTGTGCCAATGGCTGCAGGAGGCTGGATGAGCAACCAGGCAGCATTTGCTGCAGTGTTGCAGCAGTGCTGCAGCTCATGCCCTCCAGCCTGCATTCTCATCCCAGTTCCCTGCTGCTCCAGGAGGTGGCCAGAGCCACAGGATGTGGGCAGCAGAGCTGAAGGATACTCGAGCAGAAATGTGGAGAGCTGTAGAGGCAGAAGGAGAGCAGCAAACAGAAAAAGCTCATGCTCACGCTGAACAAAATACTTCAAAATAAAAGTGAGCCCTGGTGGGAACAGTTAACTTCCCATTCAAAGGTGTATTTTCTACATCTCACAGTCAAATGCAGTTTGCTGAAAATGCACTAGACCATCCTGCCGCTGCTGCATTAATTCCTTGGTGCCACTGGCTGCAGATGTACAGGTCATGTACGTCATATTAAGGATCTCTGAGTGACTTTAGGTTAGTAAATCTTCACAGGGGCAGCCTGATCTGTTGTGGGCAGTAGAATGCACAGCAGAGCCTCTCCTTAGCTGGTGCAAGGAAGCATCCTGACATTTTGCTTGTACTGGAGAGAGCATCTTCTAGGAACTCCTGTGCTGCAAGACATCAGACTAACCACAGCACATTGGTCTGTCTCAAGGGTTGTGATCTCATGGCTGCCTGGAGGCCTGATACACCTTTTGAGGGGTGATCACTAACACCCAAAAGCAGCAGCCTAGCAGCTGTGTGCTATTGCAGGACCTCCTTCCTACCACACTGGTCCAGGTCTCTCTTCCTTCTCAAATACAAAAACTGGTACTTTAAAAGTTCCTTTGTTTTGTGAGCAGAAATAAATAAGGGTTAATAAAAGCAAATTTTGTTAGTACCAGTCTGCTGTTTAAATAATTACTGAAGATGGCAGAGAATCCGGGGTGGCACATATCAGGAAAAATACAACTGCTTGCAGGCACATGCACAGTTGCTTAACATTAAAACCAGAATTGCTTGAGCCTCAGGCAGTCGAGACACTGCCACTGCAGACTTGTTTTCTGTGTTTTGTGGGAAGTTTCACCAAGTTTGTGACCTTATTTGTGTGAGTTAGTGGGATCACGTGCAGATGGGCTTGTGTCTTTATCTGTGCATTCACACGGCTAGAGAAGGTAGAATATTCAAAAAATTTGTGAGATTTCTTAAGCCAAAGAAATACCTGTATATGCATTAGGGAACTTGGGCAAGGACTAATGGCAGCAGATGTCAGAGGAGCCGTATGCTCCCCTGCAGCCTCCTTGCCTTTGCTGAGGTTGCTGCAGCAGGGAGTGCTGAACAACAAGGCAAATGGTGTAAGAGAAAAATAAGTTTTGACTATGAGGGTCTGCACATGCTGTGACAGGGCCTCCTCCCTGGGTAGGTGTTGTAAGCTCTTGCTGGTGGCAGCTGGATCCAGTGGTACCAAGCCTTTTTCATGTCCTCTAGCAGGAACGTGAGGAGTGTGAGAGCAAAAAATATGACCCTAGCAATAGATCTCTGTCTTAGCAAATTGCACAGAGGGCCAGTTGCTTGGAGTAGGAATAAATAAGTTTCTGCTGAACTAAAATGTAGCTGTTTTAAATCAGGAAAATTAATCCCATGCCCTGAAAGTGATCTTTTTATCAGCGCTGCCAGGAGATCCCCACAATGTGGTGCTGGGGTTTCCACTTGCAGAGCTGAATTGTTTTTTTATGTCATACCCTGCTGAACTCTGAAGTGCAAAACCTTCCAATATTGTCCTGTCCTTGCAGGACATACTCCCATGCCCATTAGGTATCCATGTTTCTGTCGTTAGAATCCCAATTTTGCTTGTCTGAGAGGAGAGAAGCAAGAAAATCTGTTAGCAACTAAAAAAAGAAGGCAGTGTTTTCGGGAAACAGACAGGCGGGGTACCCTGCCATATTCCAGATATTCCTGAGAAGAAGGGAGGGAGCCCTGGGATGTGGAGTGATGTTGGGGAGTCCAGAAGTCCTTGTTTCCATCACTAGGCAAAGACGTTTCTGACCGGGAGAGTCTGTTACCCTTGCTGGCAGACATCCCTTCAGACTGGATGTGCATTTGTGTCGTCCCTTCCCCAGCAAGAAATGGCCCCACTGGCTTAGTGTTCCCTGGGTGTCCATGCTCGTTTGCACACCATTGCTTGTAACTCCATGCTTTCCAGCCTGGCTGTGTTGATGGCTCTCTCTGAAGGTCATTCTGGCTTCTTCATGGTTGTCATTATGATGCAGGGGGGGGCACGGGAGATAAGTTTGTGCTTCACACCTGCCTTGTCCCCTTGCCCTCAGGTACGTCATCATCTCCCGGGAGGAGAGGGAGCAGAACCTGATGGCCTTTCAGCACAGCGAGAGGATTTACTTCCGTGCCTGCCGTGACATCCACCCTGGGGAGAAGCTGCGGGTCTGGTACAGTGAGGATTACATGAAACGGTTGCATAGTATGTCCCAAGAAACCATCAACAGAAATTTCACAAGTGGTGAGTCCCTTCCCTTTCCATCCTCTCTCCTGATCCCCTTGGGCTGCCTCACAGTTGGGCCAAGTGTGGTGGGTGAAGTAGGTGTTGCACAGGCTTTGTGAGGAGAGCTGCATTTCTAGAAGCAGAGCGCCTCTGGGTGAAAGCCCCCAGCTCTGCCTGGCATAGATGGATGGGTGTGCAAGGAGAGTAAGATACCCTCAGTCATGGAGATCATGAAAGAAAGATTTGTGCTGTGATGTGTCACATCATGTGTTGTGCCATGTTGTGTGTGTGTGTGCTGCAAGGGCCTGATGCAATGCCCAGGGATCACAGAGCACCCCTGTCATGAGACTTTCTGGCCTGAAGATTGCCAAGCTGATGATCCTACAAGACAGCATTAGGTTTTTCCTCTGAACATGCTGCTCTCTCTGGCTCCTGTGAGCAGCCTGTTTGAGGGAGGTCTGGCTGGTTTTGAGTCCATATGAATGAGATTTCCTTGGTGTGTTTGTATGTCCATTTTCCTCGTTTAATTTATCTCCTCTTTCTTCAGAAAGATAATTTGGGATCAGCGCGACATCAGCTCCTTAGTCTCACAACCTTAGAATGTGTATACAACGTACAGGAGGCTTTGTACTTGTCAGACTGATTCTTCCTTGGATAAAAATTTTTATCTTGTCTAAAGAGTAGCAATGTTGAAACAAACCCAGCAGTCCTTTGGGCCCACGTATTGTCAGCAATATAGGAAGCTTTAGAGGAAAGCAAAAATTCTTAATGCATCTGTTCATCTGTACAATGCTGATACCTGAAGTTAATTAGGAACATTTATTTCCAGGCTAGATGCAGAATGGCAGGGCCTCAGAGGGGCAGCCACACTAAATATAACTTTGTAATTATGATTCCTGAGTATATTATTACACAGCTGCTGTTGCTGCCTTGACTTGGTAAAAGGTGTCTCCTCTTCAGTCACAGGGTGGACAAGATGTCCTGAAAAAAACTGGTTATCTCTCACCTTAGGGTTGTTACACACTTGCAATGTTACATCTTGGTGGCTGTACTTGGGCAGTTCCCACTTCTGAATTAACATTGGTATGAATTTGCTTTTTTATGTTAATGAGCACCAGTGAGTGATTAGGTACAGGCCACATTGATTTTGCTGGAATAACATGCACACATCAGTCATCCAGATGGCTTAGTGCTTTCTGAAAGTACAGCAAGAGACAGTCTGTGCCCTTGGAGCAGCTGCTCTACAGGGGCACCAAGGCTATGAGCTATTGCCCTGCCATGAAGACATGCCTTTAGTCCTGTTTTGTCACGGTGTCATGGTTTGTGGGAGCTGGAATGGTAACTCACAGCCTGCTCTGTGCTACAAGCGTGGCGAAGATCCTCCTCAGGACTCTCCAGAACCTGCCACAGCCTAATAATGCACCCTCAGGTAGAAACTCACATGGCTAGGCAGACCATTCCAGAAACTCCCTGACATCTTGGTGAGCTCATCCTGCTGCAAGCTGGGCTCAGCCTGCCTTCACAAAAGAGGCACAGAGATGTTGTTAAAACAGAGCATCACCTGGGCCATTGCTAGACTTGCCAGAGACATCAAAGCCTCAGCTGGGAGGGCACTGGGAAGTGGTCAGAAAGCAGCACAGAAAAAGAAAAATCTGTTGAGTCATCCTCTATTTAAAAGATTTCAATTCCCTGCAGATGAGTCTGTCAAATGAAGTGGCACACTCAACGAACTCACAGAAAAACAACATTGTTCCTGGGTTTTGTTTCTGTTGATAGTTTCTGACCCGCCTCATCATTGGAGTTGAGACCAATATTATGAGGGATCGTCTTGTGATTTCTAGCTTTTCCATAGGGCTGAAGCACTCGGCTGGTTGGGGGAAAAATCACCGAGAAGGAAGAAGTGGTTCTCTAAATCCCTACTGCTCACAGTAGTTGCTGTGGTCCATAACAGGGGAAATACTAAGAGAGAGGCTGAAAGCTTTGTCCATAGAAATTCTCATCAATGTGTTGAAAATGAGATCTGTTGTTATGGATTCACTAAAGAAGTGGCTGGGTTTCCCAGCCAGCATCCAAACCCGGTGCAAAATCCCATCCATTCAGGCCAGCCCTTTTTACAGTGCCTTATTCTAACTGTTTCGAGTCTTGCATCTTTTCTGCATTCTTAGCATTGCTCTCCTTAGAGAGGGAATGGTAGCTTTTGCTCCATAACTCTTTTGAAAGCATGAATACACTTTAAGCAAACAAAACCAAAAATCAGCATAAAGCAGCGTCTTGTTTGGGAAGCCATCAATGCTTGAAGTTATTTACAAGATAGAAGAGTGATGGAAATTGAGCCAAACCTATCGTCTTTTGAATTTCCAGGTAAGGAAATCTGGCTATTCCCTTTATTTTAAGCAATTAATAATTTGTATGAGGTTGCTTTTAATATTTTTTTTTCGATTACTGAATGGTCATGCTCTCAGACTACACCAGGACAAGCTAGATGTCCCATCTTTGGAGGGCATTCACCCATGGTAGCTCAGTTGACAATGTGTACCTTAGGTTTTAAGTGTGCAAGTTGTTTTTACTCCTTTACCTTTGCATTTCTGGAGCAGCCTCCAAACTGAACGAGAGTAAAGGGGCTAGCAGACTTTGTGCCATGGTGTGCACAGACACTGGGGTTGTCATGAAATGGTGTAAATCTCTTGCTGCACTGCTGTACACTTGATACCTTTTACCAAGTCAAAACAGGCACAGGACTTCCAGACAGCCAAAATGGCACTTAGGCTCTGGGTATAGTTTCCACCATGATCAGTCATTCACCACATAGTCCTCTTCCAGCACAGGTTGGTTATACCTTTAGGTTAAACAAGCTGCCTGTAGTTTCTCTTCTCTTTGAAGTGTGTGGGTTCTGCTCTGCTGTGGTTACCCAGGACTGTCTCTGTTTCTGCAGACATGCCCATTAGCGGGGCTTCTACTCTTGCAAGCCTCGGTTTCCACTGAGTTGTGTCAGTTCCCTGGCTTGTAACATAACATGCAGACCTGCAGGGATTCAGTCTGCCTTTTTGTTCTTTTTTGTTTGAGTTTTAGATTGAGGGATGTTGCTCGGTTCCCAGTGATAATCCCCACCCCTCATTTTCCATTCTAGGAGACAAAACATTACTGATCGAAAAGTCAGAAAAGAATGTAGAAAGTCAAGAGGATGCAAGGGGAGCACTCCAATTCACTACCTTAAAGCAGGGGAAGAGCCCCTACAAGCGCAGCTGTGACGAGGGGGAATCCCACCCCCAAACAAAGAAAAAAAAAATTGACCTCATCTTCAAAGATGTCCTGGAGGCTTCTTTGGAATCTGCCAAGTTTGAAGAGAACCAGTTAGCAACAAGTACACCACTTTCCCTCAGAAGAGCATCTAAATACCAGGCTGAAGACATCTTTGAGCAGTGTGGCAGTGCCATGCAACACGGCTCCCTGAGCCTCAGCAGAAACCAGAGCGAGAGGGAATGGAAGGTCCCTCACAGTTCTTCTTTCATCTCAGCCAAGGAGATGAGCATCCTTGAAGATGAGGAAGAGGAGCCCCTGTCACTTAAAGCAGACAGCCCAACAGAGCTGTCACTGGCCTCTGCGCAAGGCAACTCCCATGAAATCCCCACCACGTCCTTCTGCCCCAACTGCATCCGGCTGAAGAAGAAAATCCGGGAGCTGCAGGCTGAGTTAGACATGCTGAGATCTGGGAAGTTACCCGAGGCACCCGTGTTACCGCCCCAGGTACCCGAGCTCCAAGAGTTCTCAGATCCCACAGGTAAGCCTTGCCGAGTTAGAGCATTCTCCAAACCCTGCCTAAGGAGAGTAGTGAGGTGCCTGTGTGCTGTGTACCCACCTAAAGCATTTTGCTCTGAGTATTCAGGTGAACCTGTTGTTCCATGGAAGGTTCTTTGTCAGGTTTTGTGACTGGGTGGGCCAGGAGCTGATGCTGTGGGTACAGTGGAAAACACTGTCTGGGAAAGACTCTGTATGACAATTTGCTCTATTTGTTGCCATTGTAATTGATAATGCACTGCCAATAAAAAAGACATTCCATTGCAGTTTGTTTGCTGTATTTTTGATGCATTCTCTTTCAGCGGAAGCCCCTCCACAATGCCTCACATGCTACCAAGAAAGTATGAATGACTCTGTGGTAATGCTGAAATGTGCTCTCTTTGTGTATGAAATTATGTCCTGCTGTGTCCCTTGTTGGAAATCTCTCTCTGTTTCCTCCACTGCCTTAACACAACCTCGTGTCCCTTTCTGAAGATACATTTCATTTCCTCCAGGAATATGCTGTCAAGCAGCCAAGAGCCTTCAGTAAAGGAATATTTGGGTCACACAGTGTATTGTTCAAGTGGCCAGGATGTAGTGTCCTTTTTTGCTGTTCATTGTGGCATACTGGAGACAAAGTTCTTATGCAGAAATACTGATTTCTTTCCTTTTCCAAGCTGTGATTCAAATTCTATCCATAATGCATTGTGGGAAGGAGAAGAGAGGTTGTGGCCAGCTCTTTGGGCAATGCTCTACTGTCACCAGTAGGATGCTTCTCTAGCTCAGCAGCTTTGTAAATACCATATTTTTTTCCTTTTTTTATTTTTTTGTTACAGCTTCAGAAAGCATCATCTCAGTTCCCACCATCATGGAGGACGATGACCAAGAGGTGGATTCTGCCGATGAATCAGTTTCCAATGACATGATTGCTGCTACAGATGAGCCTTCCAAGATGTCTTCTGCAACGGGCCGGAGGATACGGCGGTTCAAGCAAGAGTGGCTTAAAAAGTTTTGGTTTCTGCGGTACTCCCCGACACTGAATGAGATGTGGTGCCACGTCTGTAGGCAGTACACAGTGCAATCTTCTCGGACTTCAGCCTTCATCATTGGCTCTAAGCAGTTCAAGATACACACAATAAAGCTTCACAGCCAGAGCAACCTCCACAAGAAGTGCCTGCAGCTTTACAAGCTCAGGATGCACCCAGAGAAGACAGAAGAGATGTGCCGAAATATGACCCTGCTCTTCAATACAGCCTACCACCTGGCCTTGGAGGGCAGGCCCTACTATGACTTTCGGCCTCTGGCAGAACTACTGAGAAAGTGTGAACTCAAGGTGGTGGATCAGTACATGAATGAAGGAGACTGCCAGATCTTAATTCACCATATCGCCCGGGCTCTCCGAGAGGACCTGGTGGAGCGCATCCGGCAGTCTCCCTTCCTCAGCATCATTCTGGATGGGCAGAGCGACGACTTGCTTGCAGATACAGTTGCTGTCTATGTGCAGTACACGAGCAGCGATGGGCCTCCAGCAACTGAATTCCTGTCTCTTCAGGAACTCGGCTTTTCTACAACAGACAGTTACCTCCAAGCATTGGACCGGGCTTTTTCCAGCCTGGGAATACGATTGCAGGATGAGAAGCCAACTATTGGCTTGGGAGTTGATGGTGCTAACATTACCGCCAGCCTGAGAGCCAACTTGTTCATGACAATCAGAAAGACCTTGCCCTGGCTTCTCTGCCTTCCCTTTATGGTGCATAGGCCCCACTTGGAAATTTTGGATGCCATTAGTGGGAAGGAACTACCATGTCTGGAGGAGCTAGAAAACAATTTGAAGCAACTGCTCAGTTTCTATCGTTATTCTCCCCGACTCATGTGCGAGTTAAGGGTCACTGCTGCCACTCTGTGTGAGGAGACCGAGTTCCTGGGGGACATTCGAGCAGTGAAGTGGATCATTGGGGAGCAGAACGTGCTCAATGCTCTCATCAAGGATTACCTTGAGGTTGTGGCCCATCTCAAAGATGTCAGTGGCCAGACCCAAAGGGCAGATGCTTCTGCCATTGCCTTGGCCCTCCTGCAGTTCCTGATGGACTACCAGTCGATTAAACTCATCTACTTCCTGCTGGATGTGATTGCTGTGCTTTCGCGCCTTGCCTACGTCTTCCAAGGGGAGTACCTTCTTGTGTCGCAGGTGGACGATAAAATAGAGGAGGCCATCCAGGAGATCAGCCGGCTAGCAGACTCCCCTGGGGAGTACTTGCAGGAGTTTGAGGAAAACTTCCGTGAAAGCTTTAATGGCATTGCTGTGAAAAATCTACGGGTGGCTGAAGCCAAATTCCAGTCGATCAGAGAAAAGATCTGCCAGAAGACCCAGGTGATCCTAGCCCAAAGGTTCGATTCCCGCAGCCGGACATTTGTGAAGGCCTGTCAGGTATTTGATCTTGCAGCTTGGCCCAGAAGCACTGATGAGCTCATGAGCTATGGGAAGGAGGATATGGTACAAATATTTGAACACCTGGAGACAGTCCCATCGTTTTCCAGAGAGGTTTGCAGAGAGGGGATGGACACCCGAGGGAGTCTGCTGATGGAGTGGCGAGAACTCAAGGTGGATTATTATACCAAAAATGGTTTTAAAGACTTGCTCAGTCACATTTGTAAATACAAACAGAGATTTCCCCTCCTAAATAAAATAGTTCAGATCCTCAAAGTCCTTCCCACCTCTTCGGCCTGCTGTGAGAAGGGGCGCACCGCCCTGCAGAGAGTGCGCAAGAACAACCGCTCTCGGCTCACGCTGGAGCAGCTCAGTGACCTGTTGACGATTGCTGTCAATGGGCCACCCATTGCCAACTTCGATTGCAAAAGGGCACTCGATAGCTGGTTCGAGGAGAAGTCAGGCAATAGTTACGCACTCTCGGCCGAAATGCTGAGCAGGATGTCATCTCTTGAGCAGAAGCCTATGTTGCAGAGCATGGACCATGGCTCTGAGTTTTACCCTGATATTTAGGAAGGAATGCCTCAGATCAGATAATTTTTTTAATCTATACTCTAAACTTTGATATATTATATAAAATATATATATTATCTATATTAAGGAAAAACCCACACTGAAAATTTAAAAGTTAAGACGATGTGCGTCTGATAGAAGCTAAGCAGAATTTTAAAGATTGAGACAATGTTTAGACATTTACTGGTGTCTCCAACCATGGCAGCTGCAATGTAGGTGGCAACATTTCATTCTTTAGAAGCATGTGCTGGGGCCATACTCTACATGTTCAAACCTAACAACCTATAAGCTAGACAACGGGTCTTTGTCAGCCTCATCCTCCCAGCAGTTTCCTTTGTATGTGTGTTGTCAGTTTGCTGGGTTGTTTTCTGTTTTGTTTTGTTTCATTTTGGGGTTGCTTGTTTGTTTGTTTGTTTGTTTGTTTGTTTGTTTTCCCCTCAGTTTCAATCTCTGCCTCTCTTTCAATTGTTCAGCCCAGTTATTGAGCCATTTTAGCCTTTTGTTGGCAACCATCAGATTTCTGATTTCTGACAAAGCATCTGTGTGTTTGTGTCACCCCCAGTTCAACCCAGTTCTCTTCGGTTGAGTGGAAGCTTTCTTCACTCAAAAGATTACTGATAGGAGAGAAGGGCTGGGGACATGATTTTGGGTTTTTATTCTGATTTAGAAACCAATGCCTCCACTAAACTGTGATGCCCCTTTCTCAGTTCTCCCTACCTTTGGGCTGTAGAGTAATACTTGGCTTTCAGCTCCTTTTATGATAACCGCAGTACCAGTCTATCATACGTATGTTATAACATGATGTCATGTGCAGACTATAAAATAGTAAAATAGAGAAGGCAGGGGGAAATTTTTGCATTTATATTTTTATATTGTATGAGATAAATATATATATATATATACAACTATTCATTCAAAACCAGGGCTGCTGTGGAAGCTAGACAGCCAATGAATCGAGAGCCACCTCTTGGCAGAGATTCAAAGGCTTAAAAAATTATATTCTAATTTACATTATTTATACTATGTCTTTATAATCCTAGATTGTTGTGGGGTTTTTGTTTTGTTTTGTTTTGTTTTGTTTTGTTTGGAATGACTGAAAGAAAAACCTGCTGCAGTTTGGTGGCAGGAGCTATCAATGCAAGATTATCTTGGATTATATTCATGTGTGATGTCCTACAAAGGTTCACTTACTCTCTTGTGACCAAGGTAACATGTTCCACAGCACAGCAGACTGATGACAGCAGGAAGAAGGGATGCTCTGCTTCTTCCTGCAAAATATTTCTTCCTTTCTTGAAGGAATGCCGTGTCCAGCTGAAATGTGAATGGGGGACTTGCACCTTCCATCACAAAGAGATTGTTTTGTGGGCTTGGGGCTCTTCTTTGTTTTATTCTTTTAAAGTAAACAATCTCCAGGCATCCACACAATATCACTTCAGGTTAGAAAAGAGAAAAAAAAATCCACAAAAAAAACCCAACCAACCAAAAAAAAACAAAACACCAGACAAACAAAAAAGGTGCAAAAACTCCACAGATGCTAGTGCCTTGCCCTGCTGATGTGGCATGGACAGCACCAACCTGACCAGACCATCGTGGGAGTGAGACGTGTTGTCCAAAAGGTGTCCAAGCCAACATGTTCTCACTTCCCAGAGGGATGAGCTTTGTGCCAAGCTGTGTTGTTTGGAAACATGATGGTGGTATCAGCAACACTGAACCTTTCCTTTCTCCTGTTACCCCCCTGCCCTTGGTCTTGGTGCTAAGATATCTCTAGAACCATTGCTGCTAGTTGATAGCTTTTCATTTATATAAATATATATATATATATATATAATATTATTTTATTTTTTAAACTTTTTTGTTTGTTTTCAATGGAGATGTAGCATGTTTGGAACTGATCTCTCTCTGAGTCACTTTCACTGCCAGGGTTCACGCACTGTCTTCCCCGGGAAAACACACACTTCTACCTAGGTCTCACTCACCTCCTGCTAATCCCTTTGCCTTCAGCAGACCTTCACAGCCAGCACTGGCAGAGGTGTGCAGCCCAGCCACTATGGGCTGGTTCAGCTTTCAGACCCCACAGGAACAGCTAGGCTGGTGTTGGTCAGGGTTTTGGAAGTGTTTGCCTCTGTCCCTGTGGGACTGAGGAGGGACTGAGCCCACCCAGAGCACGAGTGGTGGCCTGTCCTTGTGTCCTGACGCCGCCCCTTTGCTGTAAAATGGGGCCTGCCATAAAGTGGTCCGAGCGGAGCAGAGCGGACCCTGTGAATGTAGCAGCGAGGGCTGGTCAGCAGCCTCTGTAGCACTTACCCCTTGCCCTACCTCTGACAGCACGTGCAGCCTGAGGCTGGCTCGGGGAGGAGAGGGCACCTGCACCAGAGGCACCCATCTGCTGCCAAACTGCCACCAGGGGTGCAGGCACTGGGTGCTCTTCCTTGTGCTCCTCATGGAAATGTCACCAGCTAGGTCAGGGCATCACACAGTTGCAACACAGAGGCATTGATATGACACGCCTAGCAAGCATGAAAAATGGCTTTGTTTTCATGTTTTCCTACATTTCCTTATAAACGATGTGATCAAATTGATCCATTCCTCCAGAGGAGTAAAAGTTAAACTGGAAACCCTCTGCCAGCCGTGCAGCCTTGGGTGGTTGTTTGCTTTACTTTGTAAAGTAGGGACTTCTCTGCACAAGGTGCTCATAGCTCTCCAGGCGTGGTGAATTGGCTCTGCTCAGGGTGCTGCCACAAAGCTCTGGAGCTGCTGCCTGCCAGGGAGGTGGCAGGCTCCCTTCCTTTTTAAAACCTGAGGAGGTGTAAAAAGATAAAAACTGCTGCTCCATTAGTTTCTGACTGGAGATGGGCAAGGTGAACATAGATCATAGAATCCATAGAAATCCATAGCTCTTTGTGGGTAGAGAGGAAAAATCACCTGCCTTTCTGTTTGCAGCAGCAAAAGCTCCTTGGCACAGAGGCCAATCAAAGTGCTTGGCCCACATGGAGGGAAGGAACATTTGGGGACAGTCTCCAGACACCTTTGGAGAGAGGAATGCTTGGCCAGGGCTTGTGCTGAGCAGCCCAGGAGGCCTGTTTACAACTCCTGATCTAAGCCTCCTAACTTTTGCCACTGCAGATAAAAGGGCAAGGTAAGAGTTGCCAGAGGCCTGTTCAGAAATTACTCTTCCAATTTGTCACTCCTTCCTTTTGGTTCACTTGCAAAACTTGCTTTCATCAGTGACACCTTTCACTGGCAGCTCTTACTTCTAATGGTGCAGTGAAATGTTCAGTGTGTGGTGATTTTCTTTGCCAGCTGACGCAAGCAGAGCACTTGTTCCTTTAGCAGGTAACTTTGCTTGCAAACAGTGATTCCCTGCCACTGGATGTTGTGGATACCCGTAATGGGAAAGGTCAGAGACCCCTTACATTGGTGATGGGGATAAACAAGAGCTTGGCAGAGCAGCTGGCCTGGCCCAGCCCATACCAGCTTCTCCAACACAATTCCCTGTTACCTGCACATCAGAAAATAAACCTGGCCTTTTTCCTAGGGTAATGCAGGTGCTTTGCAAGCTTTCCATCCGGGTTAACCTGCCTGTTTCAGATCTGTAGCTCTTGCTTTCATGGATAGTCTGTGGATGGAAACATGACTACCAGCACAGACAAGACAGGGAGGAGGGAGGAAAATAAATGCAAAGCACCCCTGGCTTCCCAGGGCTTCTGAGCCTTCTCCAGAAGCAGGTGCATTTATGTGCCCTGTTTGTCTGGGCCCAGCTTTGTGGCAGTGAGGCCAGGAGGGAGCAGCAGCAGGCATGGGGAGGGCTTAGCAGGGTGCTGAGGGAGGCCTCCATGGCTCCAAGATTGCAGTGCATTGGGTTTAATCAATGCCTTTCCTGCTGTGCTGAGAGAGCGAGAGGACTTGTTTTGAACATGTTGCTCACAGCATCTTGAACTGGTTAGGCTGCAAAGACAGAGGGATCAGTTTTTCTTGAATGAGCTCTTTGTCTCCTTCCCCTGCATCTTAGCTATGGCATCTGACTGTGAATAATGCACACTCCTCCAGACCCTTGGGTTTGTATTTCTAGCCCGTGGGATTTTTGGTTGCCAGTTTCCCTTCCCCACTTTTTGCTCAGGCTCCTTGCCTCTTTTACCCTGCTGTGAAGCAGAAATCTGTGAAGCACATTTAGACGTGTCCTTCTGCAGGGCTCACCTGTGTCCACAGGGGTCCAGGCCCTCCAGCCACGAGGCCAACCTCAGCAGGGATAATCCTCACAAGAGACCAAAGCTCTTCCCATGCCAGCAAAAGCACACGGAAGTTATGGGGGCTGCCAGGGGACACGGTGGGCAGCGTGTGGTGTCTGCCTTGGGTCTTGAGCCAACTGCAGCAATGTGCCCCGTGCTGGTCACACTTTTGCTGGTATGACTGTTCAGATATGATTCAGGCTCGGTCCATCTCTTTCTCACAGCACAAACTCAACCAGATGGCCCGCGGGGTCTTTGGAGTCCTCCTCCTTTCTTATCTCATGAGGATTGCTGTTTGTTTGACCAGTGCCCAGACAGCTGGCTTGCAAATAAGCAGCAACAGCCTCTGCTTTTGCAGATTCCCCTCTCAGCCCTGTCAAAAGAGGTCTTAAAAGCAGAGAAATGGTACGTTAATCCCCCAGCCATTGTATCCAATGCAGTAATGCCTATGCAATTCCTGTCTCCCTTGGAGACACGTATGATGTGTGTGCATGTAAGCTAGTGTATGTATACAGTACATATGCATATGGTCTATATATTGTATATACGCACATCCCAGTACATATACACACAGTACAAAAGATTAAAATCACATGCTTATATATCTATAAATGAAATCCTATATATTTATATATTTCTATGTTTTCGATAGATATAAAGATATAATATAGAGATAGACTCAACCACCCTTGTGTAAGGCTGGCCCTGTGTTTTAGCACAAGGCACGTAACACTGAAGACTTTGGACTTTGGGATGGTTTTAGCCATACACTGAGGCCTACATTTACATGTATAGCACTCTATGGAGAGGGGCTTGGCTGTGTTTAGGGCAAGGGGTTTCCTTGCTGGCATGTTAACCAAGTGATAAATAAGCTTTGTTTAATAGTGGAATGTCTTGGTAGGGGAAAATGCTTGAGTGTCCTTCTGAGAAAGCCTCTTGCTGAGGTCCCGTGTGTTCACACTTGGACAGACACATATCCCACCCTCATATGCACTTTTGTCTCTCTGCATGGGTGTGGTTGGCAACTGCAGGCACCGGTGCTGTGGAAACGTGGATTTTTGCTGTTCCACCTGGCACTCCTCAGCAGTCACCGGCACACTGCCAGGGAGACCCTGCGCTGGCCAGCGCTCACGTGGCACCAGCGAGAGCGTGGGTGCGCTTGCGGGCATCGGTCAGCGACACAGCCGTGGCAGCAGGAGGGCCAAGGCGGTTTTGAGTGGAGAAAGGGTTACGGCCACGCAGCTGCAGGTGGCAGGGATACTGAGTGGAGATGGAACAGTGCAAACGAGAAGGAACTGTGAAGTCGGGGCGATGAGAGTGCGTAATCCCAATTGGGAAAGCGCATTCAGCTCTGTTGGGTCAGGCTGGCCGCTGTCTGCTGCAGGAGCCACTCTGCTCCCTCAGGTCTCACAGCCGCTCCTCAGCCTGTGAGCAGCCTGCCTGGCCAGGGTTCCAGGGAGGCTTTCTGGAGGAAATGGAATGATGTGATTGTATGGAAGACATGGTTGGTGCTGCATGTGTGCCTTTGAGCCTCAGCACACAGCGTTCAGACCTTGCCAGGCTGAAGCACCAAAGGGTGCAGCCCTCTTACCCTGCCCGTGAAGAGACACCTGCTTTCCCATGACCAGCATTTCTGTGCTGGGATGGGGGTGGATCTGGGCAGTGAATCAACCCTCCCTGATTATCTGCTGATGCGTGTGGGATGGACAGCTGTCTCATCCCTCCATCCCTCCCCTCACACAGCCACTCGTAGGAAACTGGCCCTGCTGCATCCTGAAGCCTTTGGCTGACACCTGAGGGAACCCTAGAGGTGCCTCTGGCCGGCCTGGCAGCAGGTGGTCAGTCAGCAAGCTGCTTCCCCACAAGGGTTGGAGGGAAAGCATGGAGGTTTACCTTTGCAGCTGCGCTCCACGCCTGGCAACCGCTGCACTCCTTGCCGTTTGTTTTATTTGTTGGCTTTGGTCGGGAGGAGGGTGAGTTGTAATTCCGACATCCGAATGCTCCTTACACTGGTATTGCATGAGCAGACGCTGTGCAAGCTGCCCCCGAGCCCTGTCACACACCTCAGTGCCCTCGCCCAGGCCTCTCTCCTCCACACAACTGGTAATCCACCTCAGCCGCCCCTGCCCGGCGGCGGCTCCCCGCTCTGCCGCAGCCCCTCAGCCGCGCAGCACCGGCGGGGAGCTCTCGGCACCTGTTCCTCACAAACCTCAGAGACAGTTTTCTCGCTC